ATAGGTGATCAGATGTTTTATCACAGGAAAAAATTCACTTCGTATGGGGCAGGGCATTTATAACGGACTCACAGTAGAGAGGATGAGTGGGCTGTAAGAGATGTGGGATGGCACAACAGAAATAGAGACATCCTTGAGCATGGCAGGAGGCAGTGCTGTGAGACTGGACTGTCGAAGGGCTGCTGTAGGGACAGAGATGCACTTGTAAGGAAGCTTCTACCAGAAGGCACCTATATTGTTCTTACTAGGAAGTAAGAACAACGTAATACCAGGAAGGCTGATTCCCACTGAGCAGGACAAGGTTTTGTAATATAATTCATTTTGGATAAGAAGGGAGATTGGCAGAGACAAAGATTCATTTCATTTTGGAGGGAGTTTTATAACAGAGATATGGGTCATGATAAATCACAAGCTACACATAGGTGAATGGGACAGAAACCAACATATGTTGGATGGAACAGTTGCCCCACAGGGAGAGATTTACCTCTGGCAAAACATGGAGTCAGAAACCAGATTTCCCTGTTTAAGGGATGAAAGACCCTAAGGGGGGATGAAAGACTCATCTAGAATATGATCAGATGAAAAAGAAATTATAACAGTGATAGCTGCTCATAGGACTGGGGAGCTACAACAGAGACTTGCTTCCCTCCAAACTGTAGGAGAGCCTTTTTCCCATTGTAGGCTCCCTCAGTCCTCTCCAGTACAGACCATCCTCAACACTCTTGTTTCTCTGTGAACTGCCTCTCCAGTGGTCTTCTAGCGATGCTAATCGCTGTGCTTTGCTCCCATTTTATGCTCAGCAGTGGAGATTTGGCAATTTTTAACACTGAAAATCAGCGGAACCGAAACTCATCTCTGAGCTAAGCACCATTCTCCACAGCCTCACTCATCCTGGGCAGGAGAATCCCAAAGAACCCACCGGAGCAGCCTGGCCACTCCATCAAAGAGGAGGGGGCTCCTCTTGGACTGCTGCAGCCTCCTCTTCCCTCAGGAGTGGCACAGCTACCTGGGTGGAAGCACAAAGCCTCACTCTTTCCCACTCTGTCCTTGCCTTGCATCCATTACCAATCCAAGCCAGGGTGGTGCTAACTCCCTGTTTTCTCTGTCTGTGCCCTGCAGATGTATCCGAGGGCTCAGTTCCCAATGGAGATTCCCAGAGCAGCGTGGACAGTTTGCGGAAGCACCTTCGTGGCGACACTTTCACCCAGCAGCAGCTGGAAGCTTTAGATCGAGTTTTTGAGCGTCCTTCTTACCCTGACGTCTTTCAAACATCAGAGCACATCAAATCTGAGCAGGTGAGGGCCTGGCCTGGTAATGGGAACCCACAGGCACTGAGAGGATGATGGCAGGGTGATTCCCTCACCAAAATCCCTCTTCCCCCCTCTGTCCCTTGTTCTGACACTGACCTGTTTTTGCACATACCTTTTACAGCCCTGTCTAAGTATAACTGTATCACTGTGCTGATGCTCACGTACACACGAGCTTTATCTCCTCTCCTAAACTTGCCATATACATGCACATTGTGCTCTCCCTACGTCCCCATGACCACTTTTGCCTCTGCACACTCACCTGTCTGTATGCCAGCCTGTTCTTGCCATGAACATGCCTACACCCTCATCCATGTTCACCAGCAGGCAGCACTGCACAGGAACTCCTGCACCCTGAGATCACACTGGTGACCAGCAAGCTACAGGGTTGGTTTTAATGGATCATTTTCCTTCATGAACCAAAGCTGAGTCTTGACTCCCATCTCCAACATGGTTTTCCTCACTTCTGCAGCTCTACCCACCTTTTCTTTACTCCCCCGCTCTCCCGGCCTTTTATCCCAAAAGCTGTTTGTCTTAATAAAATGAAAATCAAAAGTCTTTTTAAACCGCCCCAAGCCATAAACCAACAAAGGAAGAGAAGGAGAGGCTGGCTGTGGACTCCCTTCATCCCAGAGTCCCTGGGTTTATTACAATGAATAACCTTTATTTACTTTCATTAGACTATTAAGCACCAGCACAGTCATTTTTCCCCCTGAAACTCTGAGCAGGGCCCATAAAGCAAATCCAAAGCCTAATTGAGTTCATTTTAATTTCTCTCCGATCACAGCGAATTACTCTGGTGATAAATCAGGGGGCAGGCTCACCCCCAGTAGAAGGCCTAATTTGCAGCTAATTACAAAACTGATTTCTACAGGAAGATCAATACAAGAAGGAATTGGAAATGACTAGGCAGTCCTAGCCAAGCAGGGACAGGGGCGGGGAGGGGGCAGCATGCGTGGAACCTGCTGGAGGAGGGGAAGATGTGGGGAGGGGGTTGGGGAAGCGCATGGAAAAAAACGGAGGAGAAAGAGCAGAAAATCAGTTTTAATTTAACGTAATATTAATCAGAGCAACTTTTCCTGCTGTTTTGTAGCCTTCCTGGTTTCTCCAGCTCCCGCGTCTGGTCTGGAGGCTGCCACAATAAAAAGGCAATTACCAGAGCCTTTCGGACAGGACACCCTTTCAGATTCAATGGCTCTCCCCCTCCCACCCTTCTGTTAGCCATGTGGCTCCCCCCTCCCCAATTTCATACCCCAATGCACAGAGTGACAGAGGCAGGGGATGAGGCTTCTTTGTTTTTAAAAAGCTAGGACAGAGGTAACAGTGGAGGGGAGGCAGGCGACCCAGGCAGAGACCCTGGCGACAGTGGGCCAGCACTGGCTGCTTCCTACAGCCTGCCTGTCCTAGTCATGTCATTGTAGTCCTATGCCCCAGCTGTCCTTGTCACCAGGGCAAACACCTCCCACCTCCACTCAGACAAGAGGAGGGAATGTGGATTTCCCCCTTCTTTTCCCCTGGGCTGGCACAGACAGCAATCCCTATCCCCACGGCATGGAATGAAGGCTCAGCCATGCCACAGATAACAGGCCAGATCCCTCACCTCTCTTTCCCTTCACAGCATCAAGCAGGAGGGTGGGATAGTTCATCGTAGGATGCCCCCCCTCATCCCTCTTGTCACTTTATCTTCTCCATTTCCTCCTCCTCCTCCTCTTCCATCTGTGCAGGGGTTTGCATCTCTCCTCTGCCTCCCCCCCATCTGTGCACCCTTCCCTTTCTCCCATCGCATCAATAGCGAGCTGTCTTTCTCCTCTCTTCCCCAGGGTAATGAGTACTCCCTCCCAGCTCTGACCCCAGGTCTCGATGAAGTCAAATCAAGTCTATCCACCTCTGCTAACCCAGACCTGGGGACAAATGTGTCAGGACCCCAGACGTACCCTGTGGTGACCGGTAAGCTGCCTGACCAAACAGCAGAACCAAGCTTTTTATTTATTTCCCTCATCACCATTAGCTTCTGCTTTTTCTGCTAATGCAAGATACCCCTCTGTGGCAAACAAGGAAAGAGACAGAAAGACTGTGGAGAACATAAGGGTTCAATAGAAGTTTGAAATTCAGAGTGTTGGCAGTTTTTGGGTACACTTAGATGTGTCCAGGTGTGACTCAAAGACAGGCAAACCCAGATGTGAATCATGAACTTGTGTGCCCAGAGGGGCTTAAGGTTGGGATGTTGGTGGAGGACAAACATGTCCAAATATTCACTGTGATTTTTCTCCTTTGTATCTGAGAACAACAGAGTCATGGCTTACCCATGATCTCCACTTGGTTTTCTTTTGGAGAAATAATAGTTTATGTTTTATTCAGCCCTGGCACTTGGAAGGGGCATTTGCAAATTAAATGTGGAGATCTGCTGAACTGCGACTGCTAAACTTCCTCCTCCTTAAGCCCACAAATCTCTTAGGAAAGCTGGCAAAAAAATTTGTTCACAGCCTTTTGTCATGTGTGAGCACATTAAACTCAGGTGTGTCTGGGAGAATAGAAACTGTGAGCAAGCACATGAAAGCAGAAGAATTGGGATGCAGATAAACAGGAGGAAATCTCTGTAGCAGATACTTCACTGAAACTTCCCTTTTACTGGTGGCATGTGCAGAACCTGAGTGGCACAGGTTGGCCTGGGGCCATGGGTCACTCCCACACTGTCCTGATACTGATGTTAGATTGCCTGTCCTGTGTGTCTGGAGCTGTAAGGAAGTATTGTGGTGCCACAGCCCTTCTTCTCAAGGTGCTGGTTGACATCAGTGGTTACTCACACAGCTACCAGACTTGCACATCTCCTCTTAGCTAAAGGGGCTACAAGGCTCAAGTGACTTGCTTCTGTTTGGTATATCCCCCTTTCTCAACAACCTCTGTAACCTCCCTAGAAACCTCATGGCAGAAGTTGAGAAACAACTCATGACAAAGAAGTCTAAGTGCTGTTGGCAAGGGAAGAAGCTTCTTGTCCCTTGACCAAAAAGTTGCCAAAAGATGGCACAGAATCAAGAGCACTGGAATTTATATCTCAATGTTTTCTTGCAGAAACCCTGGCTAATGGCCCCTGATATCAAAACAGCTCATGGCTGAAGCAGGCATTGTTTGTTCAGCAAACACTGAGCAAAGGCATATTGTTGCATACAGCTTTTGGCTACCAAGAACTTTGGGACCAGGCAGTATTAATAACAGTTAACTCAAACCCAGAGGATATCCAGTGTGAAGTCTGCAAAATCTTGTGGCGAACATGGGAGATGAACTATATTACTCAGGAAGTGTCTAGAAAGCATGACATCCCAGACCTTTTTCATGGCTTTTACAGCTATCAGGCTTGATTCAGAATCCTTGTAGCCATGCAGTTTCTTAGCCATCCAGAAAAAATGGCTTAGCTGTGGCAAAAGTGTTTGCAAAACTCAGCTGGCGCTCATCTTCGGTTTAGCAGATCCACATCTCTTACAGGAAATATCTTCTTGTCTTTGAGGGGCAAAGCCAGTAGGAGAGCAAGGCAAATCCCCACATCAAAATGTAAAGGTGATGTGCCTATAATCAGAGTTTAAGTTTTAAAGAGGCCATGAAAATAGTTCTTTTTAGTCCTTTTGCCTAAGTGAAGATGGTGCATTCCAGCCTGTTAATGTGAGAGGAGGCTTCCTGAAGGCTGGGACACTACACAAGCCTTGGACATGACTCTCACAAGGGCACAGCAGGAGACAGATTTGGTCTCACAGAAGAGACTATAGGCTGGGAAAAAATTTTTCTTCATGTCCCTCACACCCTGTGCTACCCCTACTCTGTTCCCTGCCACACTCCCAGCTCAGCTTGAGAACATCCCTATCTGATCCATCTGGATCCAAGAGTGAGAAAAGTTCATTTCAGACCCAGCTTGACATTCCCAGGTGGCAACTTAGCACTAACATCTCAATCTGTATGCGACATTTCAATCAGTGCAGAGTAACAAAAGCAGAACTATTAGCACTGGGAGCTGTTCAGTGGTGGTAATGATGGAGAAACTCAGAAACTGGAAATGAAAAGGGGAAGAAAAAGCCCCTCAACACCCTGAAAATCATCAGGGGAAGAGGGGCAGAGAATTTTTCCTGTACACTTAGGCCAGGATCCAATGTTTGGATTAATGGTGCCATTACCCAAGAAAGGACTTCAGATAATGCTCATTCTTAAAATGTTTTTGCTGGCAATTAAATGGTTGCAGGTATTGATCTTCATTGATCTGATGTTCTCAATTTGCATAATCTATTAAAGATGAATGATTCATGATATGTTTGCTATGGGGCTGGGCAATGCTTTCAAGAAGGACCAGAGGTGAGGAACTCAGTGCTGCCTTCCCAGCTAGGAAATTAAGCAAGAGGCATACAGATTTCTTTGGTGTCACCCAGGTCCTGCTCCCAGGAAGGGATATTGGAGCCATAGTGAGTATTGAGTTGCTGGCTGCCTCTTTTGCTGCTAGGGTATCATCCTTGAAATGTCTCATGCTTTTGTCCCAGGGCAGTGAATTCAGGTGATACCTGAAACAAATGTGAAACAAATCTACCCGTTCAGGGTACAAATTCTGTGTGGAGTCACTTCACAATGTGAGATTTAGAGCTTCAGTCTACAAGCAAGTCTCTCCAGCTTAGTCTTCCCAGACAGAAAAAAGTATGACTAGGTGTCTCCAAACCATAGCTGTATGATACTAGATCCTTGTCCTTTCTGAAGACTTAGGAGAAAGTCCTTCTCTCTAGCTCATGACTAGCTGTCCTCAGCAAGCTCTTTCAGCTCTCACTATTCTCAGACTACACACCTCCAAAAGCCATCAAAACCTCAGCAATATGTAGCTACCTAAGATCTTGAAATGTAGTGAGATAGTTAAGGAACAGTGTTGCTGAAGTCCCTTTATTTGTCTGGGGGTTTCTTGGAACTGAAGAGCTGGAAATGCTGCAAAACAGGAATCCACCTCTTCAACATGCCAGGCGGCCTTCCTCAAAGTCCTGGGCATCCATTCAAAGACACAGCTTTATATAGCTTAGCAGCAGAGCTATGTACAGCCCAGCCTTGCCTGGTACTGCCAATACCAAACACTCCCTTTCAGACAATTATTCTACTAACACATCCTAGATGCTCATTTATTACTCAAATCTCTAAAAGCAAGTAAACAAAACCATTTTTTTACTATGGAGCAGACAGGTCATCCCTATTTCTTCCTATTAAGTATGTGCAAGGAAGTTCCATGAATGAGTTGTCACTTAGGGACTAGCTGGACACTAGGCTAGGACACATACCCTGCCGTCCTTCATATGGAGCAGACAATGCAGAAATTTTCAACTTCCTTGAGAAGATTCAGAAAGAGAAAACTCTTAAGAGTTACTTGAGAACACTACCTCTTTCTGTACACACAGGTCAGTAGGCAAGCTACATCTTGCCTTGATGTTGCATGGCTCTCATAGCTGGATTAGTGTAGATCCCTCTTAGTTTCTTGGACACCAATCAGAATTCCTAGAAGCAAAGATCCAAGCTCAAACATACCATGATAAGGCAAGTATGTGCAGTTGAACACTGTTACAAGAATTCTGTTGTTCAGATCAATCATTTCTATTGAAGGCAAACAGTCAAAGCAGATGAATATAAATCTGTGCAGGGCTAGATAAACACAGAAAATCTCAATAGCTTTCTTTCATTCATTCGTTTCCATGGAGCTTTGAGTTTGGAAGGTACTCAGTTGCTAGGTAGGTACTCAAGGGCCAAGAGGTGAGTGGAGAAGAACCTCAAGATTTTGATACTAGCAATAGGAGTACTTTAAAAGCACAAGGATGTTCACAGAATCAAGAAGAGAACAAAGATTAAGATCCATCTTTAAGCACCACAGTTATTGGAATAGTCATGCAAAGAACTGAGATGTCTTTGGAGCAAGTTGTGAGTCCTGGGATTTAGATTAATAGTTTGGGAACAGAGTCCTTTCCAACTCAATTATCTAGCTCAGGAGTTACCCAACAGGGAGAAAATACTAGAGTATAATGGACTTTTCATGTATGACTTGAAACGTGCTATTATTATTGAAACTATGTTAACAAGGTATTGCTTGTTAACAGACTACTAAAGGGGAGGATTTACCTACTGTATGGGTCATAAATTGACAGCAAAGGTGAATTTTCCCTTAGTTGAATCCCAGCTGTTTTGACTAAATAGACCTTGCTTGCTAGCCCACTACAATCCATGAGATGTACAAATAAAAAGTAAAGGTAAAAGGCAAGATGAAAAAAAAAAACAAAAACACTTCAGGAACTTCTGTTGTGACTGAAATGGGAATATGTGTCCCCTTCTCTTCCTGTGAGGAAGTTTATGAATGCTTCTCTGCTACAGTTAGCACCTATTAACAGGAATAGAGAACTTTGAAAGTCACCACCACCCACCAAAACAGCTGTCTTGCCCTATATGGAAAATGTTTCCTTCTCTCTGGGAAATAATTTTTTCCCTAAAGAAACAAATCTCATCCAGGGTAAGAATTCCTGATGACAACTCATGACGTACTGAACAAAGGCGCCACAAAAAAAAGAAAAAAAGTTCATGGATTTTAGTTTCCTCCAGGCCTCCCCTCTCTGGCATAGGAACAGAATTTTTCTTCAGTTTTTTGGTTTTTTTTTAATTCATACATGAATGTATGCAAAAAAAGTTGGAATTACTGACAAAAAAGGACACTTGCTATACCTGAAAGACATAAAAAAGTAGTACTCAAACTGCATCTGATTTCTCTGAAAGTTTCCAGGAAAGCTGTGATGCTAATCATGGAGAAATCACTGGCTAGACACTTGGAAATTTTTTCTGAAATGCTAAGCAATCCTTTGAGAACTTTAACTTTCTGCAAGGTGAAAAGATACTATTTCCTTCATTTCAGATTAGCAAGTGAACCAAAGAGAATTGTGTTCAGTTCAACAACCTGG